TGGTGCTTTCCAGAACGGCTTCCGTGGTTTCTGCTCCGTCTTCGTTACTGCTGCTTTTGCCTTCTCTGGTACCGAGCTCGTCGGTCTGGCTGCTGCTGAGTCCAGCAACCCTGCCAAGGCTCTCCCGGGTGCCATCAAGCAGGTCTTCTGGCGTATCACTATGTAAGCCTCACACTTCAGCTGATACCCCAAGTTCATCATTAACGTGATCTAGCTTCTACATTCTGGGTCTTACCTTCGTCGGCCTCCTCGTTAGCTCCACCGACGAACGTCTTCTGAACTCCGCCAACCCCTATGCCGATGGTGTCTCCCCCTTCGTCTTGGCTCCTCTCGATGCCGGACTTAAGGGATACGATAGCTTCATGAACGTCGTCATTCTTGTTTCCGTCGTTTCTATCGGTGTCTCTTGCGTCTACGGTGGTTCCCGTACCCTTACCGCCCTTGCCCAGCAGGGATACGCCCCTAAGATCTTCGCCTACATTGACCGATCCGGTCGTCCTCTTTACTCCGTTATCCTCAACCTTGCCTTCGGTGGTCTTGCCTACGTCCGCCTGGCTTCCTCCGGCGGTGTTGTCTTTGACTGGCTTCTGTCTCTTTCCGGTCTGGCTGCCCTCTTTACCTGGGGATCTATTTGTGCCGCCCACATCCGCTTCCGCGCTGCCTGGAAGGCACAGGGCCACACTCTCGACGAGCTCCCCTTCCGTGCCATCGGCGGAACTGCCGGTTCTTGGCTGGGTCTCTTCCTGATCTTCATCTCGCTTCTCGCTCAGTTCTACGTCGCCATCGCGCCTCCCGGCAGCGCCGACCTGGCCACCGCCGAGGACTTCTTCAAGGCCTACCTTGCCCTGCCCGTTGTCCTCTTCTTCTGGGCCTGCGGTTACCTCTGGAAGCGCCAGGGCTTCCTCAAGCTTTCCCAGATCGACCTCGACACAGGCCGCCGCGAGCACGACTGGGATGAGATTCATGCCTACCGCGCCAAGGTTGCCACCTGGCCCAAGTGGAGACAGTGGCTTGACAAGGTCTTTTAAACGGCATGCGAATCTGCAATAGCTCGGTCACTCGAGCCATAAAGGTGGATGTTTGGTGTTGTGAATCTGAGGCTTTCTTCGAATCATCTATGTTTTTGTAGAGTCTCGCCATTTTGATACCTATCTAGTCTCTGATCTATAATCAGACATGCGTCTTCGTGCGCTAATACATGAGTTTATTCGTGGTCAATTTCGCCATCGTCTCTCTGTAGTTTGACTATTCGCGGGCCTGTGACCCGGAGTGTAGCGGTTCTAACATCCCAGATGATGTAATCTAACCCCGCCCTTGCACATTCCGAGGCCTATTCTTTGCAGCCAACCACTTGATCTGCATTTCGCGTCAAGACTATGCAGCCAAGTACAGACAAGGCCAGCTTAGGCGCTGTGTACTGAAAATGAGACGGACACTAGCGTACCTAGCATCCAATCGGCACGAGTTTGCTGGTTGAGCAGGTGCAAAGTCAGCACGTCGTCAAAGAAGAGTTTGTGGCGGCGGCCCCGTAACTGTCGGGTCTGGCCGCCCCCGTTGCGGGTCTAGCGTCGCCGCCGGAGCCGGTCGCAGAAGGTGCATTGACTTCCGGACCGGAGAAAGCGTCAAAGTATAGAATGATCTTTCAGTAAGTTCAACGTGCTGCGTTAAAAATGTCACGCGAATTTTCGATTCGTTCTTTTGAGGACCAATTCATGCAAGACCTTTGCTATTCTGGCGCATAATCAGTAGCAATACGTTACCAGTAGTGATAAGTACGGACATAACGAAGACGACGACGACGATAACAACGACAATAAGCACAATGTCGGCAATAGTAACAAAGACAATAATGAAAGGAATTATGTTTGACATGGCTTATGTGTAGTAGTCCGCCCGGGTCCATATAGCAAAACTCCAATGCAATCAGGAGATCACTACCGTATGCTAGCCGCGGAAACGGACTAAGACTCCGAAAGGGCATGCAAAACTCGGTTAGTGTCTGGCTGGAGACCCCTTCCACGTGGATATTCACTCTATTTGCATGCGCTTGTTGGCTTGGGATCTCGTACCGGCCCCCACGATCCACTGGATACGAGAAGGCCGGGGATCATAAGTGGACCTGCCAACAACGCCTCTTCGTATCTGTGTCATTGTGAAAAGTCATAATGCTCCCCGAGTCTTTGAAACCTTTCAACTCGTCCTTTTTGGAATTTGCGAAAGACAACTTTCAATGACCAGACGCTCACAATGCGAGTAATGGCAACTCCACGCGTAGGAGCGAGTCTCCTCGCGATTGCCTCAACAGCAAGCGCCGCCTACGTCCAGTTTCAAGATTGCTACGATGCCATCTCTTCGGAGGTGGCAGCCTTGTCGAACACTCGACTCACGCCTGAAGGCCTCAGAGCCGGTCTCGATAACTCTGATGCCGTCACGAAACTCCACTTGAACTTCACGGGAAGCTATCCTGGCGTCAAAACTTGCGACCTCGTCCCGTTCTCAAACGTGTCGGCGACTGTCGAGATAACCAGCCTCACGGCCTCCAAGAGCTACACGGTACACAACCTCACGACCAGTTGCCTCGAAACGAACTACCCAGACCACGATGTCGCCCTCATCCGCCACCAAATGACATTCCTCCTCGATCCGCCTTCTCTCATCGACAGTTGGGACCTCAACCTACACCTATCATCCGCCTCGCAGCCATTCTCCTGCGTAGCCGCCACGATAACTCCCGCCCTCTCCCCAATCGCCAAATCCATCGCCCAATACCTTCCCCCGGCTACTCTCCTCCTCACCCTCCTCCTCGCCCTCTGGCACGAACTCCTCCCCCTCCAAGTCCCCTCGCCAACCTTCAACGGCCCCTTCATCTCCTCCCCCTTCCCAACCCACCTCACCCTCATCTCCCAATGCCTCACTACAATCCAATTCCTCTTCCTCTCCACCGCCCTCACAATCCCCTACCCCTCCTTCCTCCGCCCCCTCGCCGCCCCCTCAAGCTGGTCCACCCTCATGATCCCCCGCGGGCCCGTCCACTCCGCCACCCCCTACTTCGGCCTCAAAGACGCCCTCTACGAAGTCAACGGCACCCTCACCGCGTCCCCGGGCCTCGAGCTCATGACCCAGATCCTCGGCGCCCCCGTCACGCCCCGCAGCTGGGCCAACACGCTCACCCTCGTCGGCCTCCTCCTCCTCGCCACCGCCGCCGCCGCCCAGCTCGCCCTCCGCCGCCCCAGCAACCGCGCCCGCGCCGCCCGCCTCCGCGGCACCACCGACCCCGGCCTGCGCGGCACCGTCTGGACCGTCCTCCGCGTCTTCCTCACCTACTTCCTCACCCCCGTGGCCGCGTGGTCGACGTACCAGCTCACGGCCGCGGCCTTCCTGCCCCTCTACCACACCGTCCTCACAGCCCTCGTCGTGGCCCTGCTGGTCGCCGCGCTGTGGTGGGGCGTGACGCAGAACTCGCCGCGGAACATGGGCTACCTCCTCCTTGACGCGTCCAAGAAGACGCAGACACCGGGCAGGTTGTCGCGCAGCCAGGACCGGTATGCCATGGCCATGTTCGCGCTGATGTTCGTGCGCGGCGCGGCGGTTGGGGGGCTGCAGATGGCGGGGGCCGGGGTGGTGCAGGTGCTTGTGCTGGCGGCGTGCGAGGTTGTGCAGCTGCTTGTGATGGGCTTCACGTGGCGGTGCGTGCCGGTTTTGAGGGTCGGCGGGGCGCTGAGCGTGGCAAGGTTCGTTGTTTTGGGGATCTTTGTGGGGTTTCTGCCGGGTGTTGTTGGGGAGGTGAGGACGAGGAATGTGCTTGGATTAGTGGTGCTGGGTGTTCATGGTGTAGTTGTGGTGGGCGTGTTTGTGGTGCCGGGGCTGGTTCGGGTTGGGATTTTGATGGCAAGGACGTGGGATGTGGTGAGGGCGGAGAAGAAGAGTGAGAGGGATGGGCTTGAGGTGAGGATTTTGAACTGCGCTGGATGTGGACTGTGCTAACTTGTGTAGGAGTATAGTCTCCGTCGTCTTGATACAGGCATCGTCCCCGGGCAACGACCAGATTCGATTGTGGTATCAGAGCGCCCGCGGTGTCCGTCGAGTCTTCTCATGTCGCCCATCTCGACTGCGCCTCTCCGGAAGAGCGTGAGGGATGACGAGGCAAGCTTCAGGGGGCATAGACTTTCTTTATCGATTTCTAGCAATGAGTCTTCTGGCAGCTCTGTTGGAGAGGAGAGACATTCCGAGGAAGTTGGAGGGGAGGTTGAGGATCTGGGGTCGCCGGGGTTTGTGTACGAGGCGAGGGTTGGGAAGAGGTTCTCGAGGGCTTCGGTTTTGAATTACTCCAGGCCCTTGGATGGACAGCCACAGAGTCCTTGAATTCGAGGTGCTCATTGACGAGTTACTTGGTGCTAGATCATGTTGGACACAGCTGACATATTGAAGCTTTCATTCATTGAGATGCTATGCGAGCAGGTCGTCGTTTGAGTTGCATCGATTAGCACAATCTGGTGATGATCTATAGTCTTGTGAAACCGGTCGTTTAAAACCCATCTGCCTTGCAAATGTATCATGGAAGCCTGGAACTGGATTCTCCGAGCTCCACCTCAAGTCTCACACCTCAGAAAAATCTCCAGCCAAGTCGTGTGCTGTTACTGTACCGTGGTTTTGTCAACAACCATTTAATAAGCAACTGTTAGTTGCTGCGGCTCTAATGGGAAAGACTTGGAAAGTCTCAAAATCTCGGAGAGACGCCTGGAGTCTGGAGCCATGGTTAGTAGTGGTAGACACAGTAAGAAAGGCGACGGCAAGAATTGCATCAAAGCCGACGATAGTAAAGATCAAGGGCAAGTAGGGAAGGTATCTGCATAGCCTTCCAAGTCTATTCCTGGCGAAACTCTGATTTCATACTGGCCAGACTGAATCATTAAGGCGCAATCTCATGTGTATCATTCGAACTCCTAGAAATTTGATACCCGAGTTGGTGATGAAAGTCAATTGATACAGTTAAAAAAGGTCTACTGCGTAGACCCATTTCTCATCGTTGCCAGCTTAATCTGTACACCTCCAAAGAGCCTCTTCACCGGATTTAGTGCTTTCTTTCGGTCACCGAAAACAACAACGCCCGTTCTAGTGACTGGATTCCTCAGAACCACGGAGTTGCTTCTCCTCTCTTCGTCATCAGATATGTGCTGGAGCACATGATAAGGAGGACGCTTGCTCCAAATTGAGACATGCCCTGGGCCTGAACAGTTTGTCCAAAGCGCAGCGGTGGTATTCCAAACCGTCTTGGTGCCTCCCAAAACACAGCTACCCCTCATCAGGTTATTTGTGCTACTTTTAGCCCTATAAGCAAGAGCCTCGAGGCATTGCATGTGCGCGGCGAGGTAAAAGTGATTCCGTGGGAGTACCGGACAACTTGTGCAAGTGTTACCTGCCGGCAATTCGGGCCGTATTGGTTCTCCAATTCCCGAACATACACCCACCACGTCAACATATTTGATTATTGCCTCCCATGATGCTGCCAGAGCTTCCGAGCCTGACACGTCAATTTTCCTGAGAGGGCTACCTGCCATAGGAGGATCAATGATTGACATGAGCTCAGTCGCAAAGATAACGCCCCGCCTTGGCTCCTCTCTAGTACTGACCGCCCTCGAAAACTCCGTGTGAATGCGCAGAAAAAGCTGTCTTAGTGTCTCAGTGTCAGATTCTCCAGGCTCGCCGAGAACAATTACGTCTCCTTTCATCTCAATGGCTTCCAGCACCGCTTCGTGTCCGTCGTAAGTTGGCTCTGCGAAGGGAATAAATGCTGATAGGTTGTTTGTGTGATTGATCTCTTGGTAGTATCTGTGGCAGAGATGTAGAATCAGGCTGAGGGTTGGAACAAGCCATGCCTGTTCTGTTTGAGAATCAATGACAATGCTAACGCTCCGCCGACAACTTCTGAGAGTCTTTCGATATTGCCCCGTCGGGTCGAATTTCCGGACGTTAGAAAAGAACTCCCATGCTTTCGCACCCTGTGGGGCGATGTTGATTGGGCCGGCAGAGATGCCGAATTGTCCACCAGCTTGGTATCCTTTAGGACGAAGCGTTTGGCGGCACTCCATTGTACCACTCCAGGACAACTGATCAGACCTATCGAGTAGGCTTTTGGTTCCCAGAATGACGTGTGCCTTCTCAAACCAACCAACAAAACACTTCGATCCATGAAAATCATGAGAATCGTGAGTCTCAGGCGATATCCTTTTAGCTGAGCTTAGCTTGGAAGGATCTATGAATCCTTCTGATGAATCGTCCATAGTCTCGAAATGCCACTGATAGCTTTTTGATTGCTCATCGTGCTCGACCAGAACAAGGGCTGTCCTGTAACCGAGTAGAATCAAACTTCCCTCGACCGTGTAATAATTTTCAACAGCTGCCAAATGGACCATAGTTTCAAACTTCAGCTCGAGACCTTTGCCCCATTTTCTTCGAAGAGGCATCCAGGCAACAACTCCCTCACGAAACATTTCAGTCCAGCAGCTTGACTCTGACGAACCGTCTGGTACCCATCTTTCCAACGGCTCCAATGTTTGCCGGGGCAGACGGGGGTTTGTGTGACCAGCGCTCGCAGCTATGGAAGCCTTCGAGCGATAGAGTCCTTGAGAAAGGCTTGAATCTGACACCGAGATCCGACGAATGGCGGTGCATATCCAAGTGATCGCCGCATGAAGTTTTGTAATCGAAACATGGTCGAAATGGGCAGCTTCCCCAAGGTTGATGTTGATTTCTTTCTCTGTGGTGTTTGTGAGAATCACGCCGTCCGAAGGGTCTGCTGCACGCCAGGCTGCATAATCCGCTCGTCGTTGCGGAAGAAGGGCCTTCGCGACTCCTCTACTCACAATCGCGAGAGCGATGGTCCCAAGCTGGTCCCATTGAATTGAAAGGAACTCAGCGCAAGTAGTACACCAAACCGTGTCTTCGTCTCCCGTGATCACTACAAATTCAGATAAAAAGTCTTGAATCTCACGGCCTGATGACTCAGTTGAAGCAACACAAAAGCTGTTGCAGACTTCAGGGATCTCCCACTGGCAAAAAAAGGAATCCTCTGACTGGTTTATGGCGCGAGGCGTATCTTGATCTGAGTAGGGAGCCGCCTCAGTAGTGATTATGGGAGACGTTGCTGAACCTGGGTAGAAGACTGGCTCGGTGGTTCCTCCGGAACTTGTAGCAATGTCGAAGTCTAGCCGTCTTATTTCCCATGCGGGTGAGTGTATGGGAGTCTGGAAAAGCCTGGTCACGTCCTGAAGGTGTTTCAATGTTACCATGTCCGCCTCTCTCGTTGCAGCAATTCTGACCGCTAGTTTGACGGCGTTTCGAATCTATGTCGGGATGTAAGCCCTCCTATGCGCACCCTTTACAGCTCTTCGTCTGATTCAAATAATTTATACGCACCTGTCGGCCATCGAGGGGAGTCTTCGCCAGCTGTCGAATTTCTTCCCCGTTCATCTCCTCAATGTAAGCTTTGGTCTGTCGAGCTTTAGATATAGAATAGGACCATATCTTGAAGCGAGCTGTGGTATCGAGGCGGGGAAACGTAACTGATAGATCAATTTTGCCTACAAAATAAGTTCTAATTAAACATCGGTAAGTTGCATTACACAGGGCATAGACTCACCGAGAATCTTTTCATCAATGGCGTCAAGATCATTCGTCGTCATGAACATGATCCCATCATAAGATTCGACTTCTTGAAGAAATGCCACAGCCAAACCATTTTGAGATCCCGTCCTGCTCCGAGGCATTAATAGGTCTGCGTGTTCCAGGATTAACACAGCTTTCCAATGACTCGCAAGCTTAAGGGTATCGACCAGGTGCTCCCGCACCCGTACAATGTCACCATCTAACAATACATTCGATAAGGGTATGATCGGGAGTTTGGCGCCTTCTGCAATTGCTTCAACTGCAAATGTTTTCCCTGAACCTGATGGGCCAGATAAAAGCCCCATGAGACCTTTGCCTCTTCCGGATGTAATATGTTCGACTTCGGAGGGATTCATAAGGCTGTGAGAGGTAACAAGATGACAGACTGCATCTTTGATCTCTGGTGTCAGAACAAGGGAGTCCAGAGCATCGCTATTCACTCAAAGTCAGCAGCTTACTACTAGCCAAGTATGGGAAGAGCTTCTACCTATGTGTCATACATACTGCAAGGTACAACACACAGGATGAAAGCAACATACCTGGTCCAATTTATGGGAGAAACTCGGTTCACTGCGAACGCACCTGTGCGGATTCAGTTATTAGGGATACAATAACTGAAGTGGAAGGTGTCTGTACCCCATCTGCCCTCTCGGGGATCGAATCCATACAAAATTGGGGAAACTGTGAGTATCTGTTCTTTTGAAAGTTTTGAAGATCCTAGTGGTGAGGACGATGTGAAAGGCGGACCGCTGAAACTGTCCTCTCGCTCATTCCCACCCTTGAATTCTTTCTGCGCCTGGTTTGTGGGATCATTCTCCAGAAAGAGCTTTAGGAACATGGATTTCTACTTAAGATGTCAGAACAGCGCAGGTGTGAGGCGTGCGCATAAGTATTGGTACCTGTTCGGCCGTTGGTGTATCGGGGAGTGATATTCTCGAATCTTTCCGGAGTTGGCTGTACTGAGGCTTCTTTGGCATTAACTCGTTCCCGCGAATCGAATGCTGCGCCATTTTGTGATCTATAATCACCCTTCCACTGACCTATCAGTATGTAAGAATTGGTTTCAATCAGCACACACGTCTTGGAAACCCGTCTACTGACCGATGTTACCTGCCAGCTGCTTGAGTCCGGGAATTGAAGCAGGGCATTTCCGTAGTATTCCACGTACTGGAACATCGGTTTCCAAAGTCCTACAGTTGCATGGTAGCGTTGCATTGTGTTCTGTGCAATTTCCTCGCGTCTTGGATGATATTTCAGGGGCACGAACAAAAGATCTTCCATGAAGATTTCGTTTGTAAAGTTTTCGATTCGGGAAAAGGTTCGGATGTTCTGAACGTAAACACCGTCCCATCCAATGTACTCAGCTTCAATTTCCAAGTGGAATCTCGGTGTCATACTGGGAAATTCAGGTCGACTTGACACAAGTTTAACCTTGCGACATCTCTGCACATAGTCGGAGTTCATCTCATCTTTTGCCACGAAAAGGCACCCTGGGGGAAAGACTGTCCACAATAATGGATGAGTGATGGAGCGCGGCAAAAGACGCTTTAGGTCTGATATTGTTTGACCAAACCCATAGTCGATGTACTTCAGAGCAGCATTGATCTCAAACAACCCGTCTTCGTCAGCAATATCGTTGTAGTGATTCGCGAGAACTTCAAGCTCGGGGCGTGCCCAAAACAGATATTTTGCATCAAGCTACGCAAGTAGTATTAGCTACTTGGTTCATCGCGGTCACTCTTTGTAAAAGATACTACCACCACCACCACCACCAGATAACGGCACAACGAGATGGAATGCCAGACTCACCCGAGCGGACGGATCTTCTGGCGATGAAACGCTTGGCACTCCACTGAACAACCTTTGTAAAGCTTTCTTCAGTACTGGACCCGTAATCAAGAGGTGGGATGCGGGGCTTTGGTTGTATGCTTGGCCAAGGTATGGACCGTATGGTCGATGCCAAACGAGGATGACACATTTGTCGGGATTAAATTGGTCCGGAAAAGGGCTATTGTAAACGTGCCTATTAGCATTATTTCAACTAACCTATTCATTGAACTGGAACTCCCAAAGGGTGGCATTTCAGCTTGTCACGTTTTAGGAAAACCTCTGGCCATCACCTACTTGGGAGAGAACGGGCTTGTATGATACCTAAGTAAGCTACGGTGTCCACAGAACGTTGCCAACATTTATGTTAGTGATAACATACTTAAGATATGAGAATAATATTTCCTTCCGGCCTCGAGTGTCGACTTCAATCTCGACTGGTGGAGAGATGATTCCGCTCTCTGTATCGGAATCCCTTACGCTTGTTCGATAGCCCTCTTCGGAATCAGAATACGATGGAGACTTCGATTCTGGGGCAGGAAATGCTTCCGTATCTGTTGGGGAGAAAGATTCCATGGCTAGTGAATTGCCTAGGACATGGAATCAGTTATGCCCAATGTTGAATGGAGTCCATGTGTGTGGGCTCTAACCAAGATCGACGTCGGCGTCAATGTTCTCCTGCAATCCTTCTACAAATTGGGGGAATAAGGTGGTAGACATGTCGGTCAGCCAACTGTAGAAGGCAAGTTAGCCAAAAGACTGTTTGCTCCAAACGCAGCGCAGTCAGTAGGCTTTTAAATTCAATAATGGTATTCAGATAGCAGCCAATAGGATGCTGGGCATCTTCACAAAATGCCGGTTTGTTATTACTTATGTAAACACCATGCAGCCAAAAACAAGTCGGCAAGATTGGGTCCAAGAGGAGAAGCTCCCGCTGTAGGAATTTCTATGTCATTGGAGGCCACAGACTACTCCGTCCTCATTTCTCCACTACCCCCCACCATATGTCATGAGGACCAGATGGGTTAATCACATTTCGATTTCAAAAGGACCGCGCAGCAGGTAGCTATTGCCGGGCCAATGGAGATTAGAGTAAAAGTTTCTCAGCCAAACATTCCAAGCTTACCCCGCTTATGCACAAGTTGTGAAACCTTGGCGGGTACATATGAATCTTTCTTCGTTTGGTGTGTTGTTGGGTCACGGCACATCCAGCGCATTTGGAGCCTCGAAGGCTTTGAAATGCCCTAGGCGCATTCGTGTTCCACCACTGAGCCATCATTACGGTCCAAGAATTTAGCTCATCAATAACTGATCTTCATGTAGCCTGGGGGGCAAGTGCTCCAGACCTCAACAAGACATATGAAACGGGCCATGTAATATGGATGACTATAAATACGATTTAGGGAGATCAAGGTCTTTCTCAATAATGGTGGCTCTTATTGTGGCTATTTCTGAACAGGCTCAGTCCCGTTCACATACCAGAAGTCTCACGCTCGCCGCAGTATGATTATCCTCCACCCCGGACCCATCGTCTTCGCCCCTGCGCTCGAAAGCCTCCCGTCGGGCGCCCAGCTCTTCCATCTCATATACGAAGCCAAAGGCATCAGTATCGCCTTCGGTTTCATCCTCCGTGCCGTAGCCACAAAGTTCACGGGCGTAATACTCAGGCATGGCGTAGTACCTGCAGCCAGCCGCATGGAAGACAAGCTGCTCCTTTGGCCACGATCCGTAGCCCCCCATAGACCATTTCCGTCATGTGTTCATTGAGGACGGTGCTCTTACGCCGAAGACGATGGTCCACAGGCCATAGTATCGGAGTCGTGAAACGGCACAGGTCTCGCGTGGTCTCGACCAAACTGTAGTACATCTCCCAATGAAGATAGTCCATTTGCTCTTCTTGAGGGCGTTCCTCCCGTTCCAA